TGTAAGTGAAGTGCCAACAGGTGCCAGATAGATAACAACATAAGCAATGAGAACTGGATGGGAAGGGATAAATCCCAGCTGATACTCGCTTCCCTTAGAAAGATGCAATGGACAGAGGTGGGAACCAGCACCGCCTGCAGAACCCACAGTCCACATCTAAGTCCCCTGCACTGATTAAAGGCCCTGTCATGGGGGCTCCATGTCCCAGTTGACATTGGAGGAAGGATGGTGGGGGATGCAGAAAGCTACGTGGAGCTTAGGGACCCTCCTTCATTCCCACCTGGCTCCTCCTTTTTGGTGGTGCTGGAAGGAGCAGGGGTAAGTGGTGTCTCCACCCTCCCAGTGACTCCATGTTTCTCAGAGCTGGTATCATTGATGACATCCCTCTTGGATCCTCCCACAGGCGTGCCTGGAGAATAGCCCAGAACCCAATACTCTCCCTGCAGATGATGAATCTGGGGTGCTGGTCAGGTTATGCTTCAGGAATGATTACAGAAAATGAGCTCCTTCTTTTGCTCTGAAAAGGGGGAGGCAGCAGAGCCCAGCATTCACATCCTAGACCACAGGGGTGTGGGTTTGCAGTGTTGGTTGGCACACCACTGCCAACCACTTCTAGAAGCGTTTGCTTGTTTGTTTGCTTGTGTTTCTACAGCGTCACGTGCTCAATGCCCTTCAACTCACAGGTGGAACATTTCAGGGCAGGAGAGTGTGTTCTTTCCTACTCTCATCCCTAGGGCATCTGATGCTTGTGATCTTCAGATGATACTGAAATAGCCCCAACCCTGGGCACCAGGGGACAGGAGGCTCAGTCCTGGCCTTCTCTGCCTTCGCCTTATCCTGCTATGAGGTTTCCACAAGGCACCCAGTGCCACTGGGCCATTTTCACCTGGGAATTGAGGGAGAACAATCTGCCTCTTAAGGAAGAAAAAATTAGGCAAGGGCTGCTTGTGTTTGGGGCTGGATCCCGGAACTCAGAGGAAATTTAGAAGCTGAAATAACAATTGGGAGAAGTGACTCACACCTGTAATCTCAGTACTTAGGAGGCCATGGCGTGTGGATGACCTGAAGTCGGGAGTTTTAGACCAGCCTGGCCAACATGGTGAAACCCCGTATCCACTAAAAAAGTACAAAAACTAGCCCCACATAATTGTTGGTGCCCGTAGTCCCAGCTACTCAGGAGGCTGAGGTGGGAGAATCACTTGAACCCAGGAGGCAGAGGTTGCAGTGAGCCAAGATAATGCCACTGCACTCCAGCCAGTGTGACAGAATGAGACTCGATCTGGAAAAAAAAAAAGAAGAAGAAGCCAGGATAACTAAGTTGTAGCACCACACTACCTGCTCTGGAGAGAGGACCCCCCCTTCCTTTTTTTTTTAAGCTGCAGTTCTGCTACGTCACCAATGCCTGACTGTAGAGGTGGGATCTTGGCTCACTGCAACCTCTGCCTCCTGTGTTCAAGGGATTCTCCCACTTCATCCATCCCCCCACCCCCAACACGTAACTGGGATTACAGGCATGCAGCACCATGCACAGCTAACTTTGCTATTTTTAATAGAGATGGAGTTTTGCCATGTTGACCAGGTAGGCCTTGAATTGCTCATCTCAAATGATTCACCCACCTCAGCCTCACAAAGTGCTGGGATTACAGGTGTTAACCTCCATGCCTGGCCTGGAGAAAAGACCTTAAATGACACAATGTGGGAAGAGCAAGGTTGTGAAGACCTGCCCTGGCTGAGGTAGCTCATGCAAGTCAATCTCTCTGAGCCTCAGTCTCTTGATCTGTGAAATGGGATGTCATTATAGCTCCTTCACAAGACAAGTGGCAGGTCAGATATGAGAATGCACAGGCAGGCTGTTTGCAGCTGGATAAGCTCCATACAGATCTGGAAGGGGGAAGGAGAGAAAGAAGGAGGGGTTTCCACGGCTGCATAGGGCACCTTTTGATGGGGTGCGTTCTGAGTTCCAAAGCTTGTGAGGAGACTCAAACCTTCAAGAGCTCTTCCAACTTTGAGATTCTCTGATGGTTTCAGGGCTTTGGGAGGAAGGGCTTGTGGTTCATGTCTGTTGCCGGGATTTTTGTTTCCTTGTTTGTATCTCTGCTGCTGGTCCAAGGAGCTGGGGTAATACCCTGAGTCTGGGTTCCTCATACCAAGGAACCTGGAGGAGCCCCAATGGGCAGGAAGAGGGGAGGGCCAAGAACGGGGATGGTGCCTTCTAGCGGTCAGTGTTAGCTCTGCATCCAGCTGCCTCAGGCGGGCCCAGGACTCAGCAAAAGTGGAATTCAGGTCTGAATCATGCACAGAACCCCCAGAATCTATTGGGTGTCGTTGGCCCCTTTTCCCTGCACACACATTCTCTCTGGTGGGTGGAGAGAAACCATGTGGTAAGAAGGAAAGGGATATGATAGAGAGTGGGATGGGGTCCGTGTGGGTCTCAAGGACTGACTATCCTGACATCCTTTCCTGCCTTCAGGTAGGCCACCATGGCATGCTGCCAGGGGGTACCGACCTGCCCCTTAAAGAGAGGACAGGATGGGTGGTGCCTCTGGCAGACACTCTGTGCACAACCCTCACAGCGCTGGTGACAGTGGGAAGGGAAAGAAGACAAGCCAGGGGGCATGATACTAGCGTGTGTAGGAGAAGCTTCTAAATTATCCACTAGCACAGGTACGTGGCCCCCCTTGCATGAACATGCATAGAAACAGGTGGAGGCCAGCAGGCAGAGAAAAGGGGCGAGGGTATAAAAGGGCCCACAAGGGACCAGCTCCAGGATCCCAGGGCCCAAATCCCCAAACCATGGAGAGTCCTGTGGACAGCTCACCTAGCTGCAATGGCTGCAAGTAAGAGCCCCTAAAATCCGTATGAGCAAGATGTGTCTGGACAGGAGAGGTGGCACCCTGTAGATGGGACGGGGGCACGAGTCTTCAGGTTTGGGGCTTCTGGATGTGAGTATCACCATCTAAGCCCAGATATTTGGCCAATCTCAGAATGTTCCAGGTCCCTGAGGGAGACCTTTTCAGAGGCTGGAAGATGGCAGCCCCTGGAATGGGGAGATCTTCAGGCAGACCTACGGGTAGTTTGACATAAACTCATAGAACGATAACGCATTGCTCAAGAACTACAGGCTGCTCTACTGCTTCCGGAAGGACATGGACAAGGTCGAGACATTCCTGCGCATTGTGCAGTGCCGTTCTGTGGAGGGCAGCTGTGGCTTCTAGCTGCCGGGTGGCATCCCTGCAACCCCTCCCTATTGCCTCTCCTGGTCCCCGAAGGTTGCACTCCAGTGTCCACCAACCCTGTCCTAATAACATTAAGTTGCATCATTTTGTCTGACTAGGTGTCCTTCTCTAATATTATGGGGTGGGGTGGGGGTATGGAGTAAGGGCTAGGTTGGGAAGACAACATACATGGCCTGTGAGGTCTATTCGGAACCAGGCCCCTGAAACATAATGAACTTGATCTTCCTGGGCCAGAAGAAAGCTGGCACAGCACTACTGTCTATTACTTACTGAGGCCACTCCGCGAGATCAGTGCTCCCAGCTTGCTGGTCACAGCTCACTGATCATCCCAGTGATGATTAGAAGGCATTTCTTCCTCCCCAACCATCACCAGCAACACCAAAGCTAGCCCCCCAGGAGTGGGAATAAATGAAAACAAGACAGGCTATTAAGTACAGAGGCAAAAGTTCCCCAAAAAGTGAGAAAACGATGTCTTGGAATTACTTGTGTGCAGAAGAATTTTAAGATAAATATTTCTTAAGCGCAACTACGCTTGGGAAATGGGAACAATGCAAAAATGAGTTTGAAACATATAGAACGAGAGCATTTGGGATCTGCATTAGGGCAAGAAAGTGGAAAAGACATTTTATTTGGATTTCCAAATCCAGTGCCAGCAGGTGCCACAACCCCCAGACCTCCCTCTCCTTCTCACAGTCTATCCCGACACGCGCCAGCAAAAAGGAAACTCAGATAGATAGCAATGGAGGCAATGGGGGCTGGATGGGAAGGGATAAATCCCAGCTGATACTCGCTTCCCATAGTGAGATGCAACACAGAGGTGTGGGAACCAGCAACACCTGCAGAACTCACAATCCACATCTAAATCCCCGGCACTGGCTAAAAGGCCCTGTCACGGGGGCTCCATGTCCCAGGTGACAACTGGAGGAAGGATGTTGGGGGACACAGAAAGCTACGTGGAGCTCAGGGACCCTCCTCCATTCCCACCTGGC